ACATTCTCAAGGGTTCGTACGGTTAACATCCCAGTCATGACGTTCTTACGAAGTTGATATGGTTCTTAGGACGCGACGGTTACGTTTGTTCGAGGTGTTGAAGTCACAAAGCGGTGCTCTTGGACGAGTTCGGACTGTCACGACGCGGCCGCCACATTGGTTCGGGGCATCAAAGTTCAACGAATGTTTGGCACGATTGCAGGTTCTCATACGGTTGTCTTCCAAAAGGGCACTTCAAGCAATGAAAGCCATTCTTGCTGGGACCTAGGATGAGGGAATTTGGAAGGAGGGTTTATCAAAACGTCGTTGATTCGTTTTTGGTTCATACTGGTCCTCTGCCTCCTCCAGTTCCTCCTCGTCCTAATCCCCCTCCTCATCCCCCTTCCCCCTCCTCGCCTATCCCCCCTCCGTCCTCTCCTTCCTCCTCCTCCTCCTCCTCCTCCTCCTCCTCCTCCTCCTCCTCCTTCTCTCACCACTTGCCCCCTGCAGGTTCCGTGGCTACTACTGGTTAGTAGTTGTGGGTTTTCTGGGGGTTCCTCCCTCCCTCTGCTCCTCCTCTACCTCTTCCTTTTCCTCCTCCTCCTTCCCTCCCTCCCTTGTACCCTCCCTTTCTCCTCCTCGCTCTTTTCCTCATGCTTATCATATTCCTCCTCCCCGTCCGTCCTCCCCGTCCTCATTATGTCACCACTCGCCCTTGCAGGAATGTGGGAGGTATCGCGATCAACTCTCTGACGCGATGCTTAATAACCACACTGGCAGCACACACGTCAAATATGAGTCGCGGAAGTGCGCCAGCAAGTCAGTGGTGCCAGGAGCAAAAGCGGGAGGCGGAGGAAAGGTACCAAAAGACACGACTGTGGGCCTGCAGCTCTCGTCCTGCCCCCTGCTGGCGGAGGAGGGGAAGAAGGTGGAGAAGAGTGGAAAGGAAGGGAGGAGTGAGGGGACATCCGTCATCGTCCCGAACGATCGCCTGAGTGCCGAAGTCTGCCCCCGAAGGCCAGGCCCCCCCAGCGTAATGTAAAAACGCGACGGAAGGATTCCACTGGCCCTCTGGCGCGGTCGCCAGTGGACCCGCGAGGTCAACCCAAGCTGGTCCACGGCCCCTAACCAGCCTCACTCCGACTCTCTCCCCTCTCTCCCTCCCTCGATGAGTTTTCCTCCCGCTGCTGCTGCTAGCGGCTGAAAGAGACGATGTCTGCGGCCACGCGCGCCTTTCCTGCCACTCCCACCCGGCAAGGACCTGGGTGGGAGGGGGGGCTCATTAGGGAAAAGGTGGGACAAAGGAAAGAGATGAGACAAAACTGCGGGGCTCGACCTCAGTTGGCGAGGAAGAGAGGGAGAGAGAGAAGGAGAGGACATCACATCAATCATCATAACATCTTGTGGAGGAAGAAAGTAAAGTTAGAGGTTGACGGCAAAGCACAGCTGGCAGGCGCTGATGGACCCCTAAGTGCCCTGTCTTGGGCCTCTTCCCATTGGGGCCCCCCGACCTCTCGGGGTCGGTCCCCTGGGGGTGCCCTGGGTCAACCCTCTTGGGGCGCCCGCGTGGTCAGAGGATGGGGGCGGGGAAGGTCGCCGAAGGTTGCATGGGGGTGGGCCTCCAACCCGCGTGGCAGAAGGGTGGGCCTCCAGCCTAGCTGCATCAGCCCCCTGCGATTCAAGGTTGCTCGTGCTGCGCAGCCCTGATGGCTGTTGTTGCAATATGAGCTTCGTCGGATTGTTGCCCTGGTGGCTGTGGCGACAGGCTGGGAGGTCCTCCAGCCCTCCTGTGCCCGGCTGGCTATGGCTGCAGTCAGGCTGCTGCAGATTAGCATTCTTGCACATGAGAGGTGCAGGTGGCCTTGATGGCCCTGTAGCCGGCTGGCTCGGCAGATGCGCTGGGTCACGCAGAGTTGGCCCTGTTGGCCCTGGTGAGGGTGGTCTGCAGTGTGGCCCAAGTGGCCCTGCTCCAAGACCAGTGGTAGCAGCTGCTGGCCCTGGTGGCCCTATTCAAGTGTGGGTGGGGCACTGGAGGCTAAACAGCGCAAGAGGCTGCTCGAAGGTAGGCAGGAATGCTGTAGACAGATGAGGAAAGTGTTGGCCTGCAGTGTGCCCCTGGTGGCCCTGCTCCAAGACCAGCGGAAGCAGCTGCTGGCCCTGGTGGCCCTGTCAGTGTGGGTGGGGCACAGGAGGCTTCAACGGCGCGAAAGGCTGCACGGAGGTAGGAAGGAGGGCTGTACTGCAGCCCTGGTGGCAGTGGGAATTGCAGATTCAAGGGTGGCAGTTCGCCTTGAACCATCTGGCAGATGTGGGTAAGAGGAGGAGGGGTTGCTTGGTCAGTGACCTGGTGGCCTTGAACATTTGGAGAACATGTGCGGGGAGCCTTTTGAGGGTGCCGCGGTGCGGCACGGCCGAAAGCAAGGGCCTCAGATCCTGCAATTAGGACCCCCCTAGCTAACAGACGCCATCCTGGCTGGTACCCTCCGCTTCCGAGGAGGAAGTGAGGTACCCAGTCCAAGGTTATGTGTGCTGTCTAAGGGTGTCCACCTTGCGTGGATCTGGTTTGCCTTCGACTTCCCCCGACGAAGGCAGCAAGCTGCAACCATCGTCGGGGAAGTCGAATGGCGTGTGGTGAGGTAGGGGTGGGTAATGCAATCCATGCCATCGGTTTGCAGGTTTCGAACCACGGCAGCATGGCCAACGCCATGCCGCCGTCGGCTGCGTGCTCCCCTTCCCGCCCATTGAACTACCCCATCCGTGCCGACTCCACAAGTTTTCCTCCTCCTCCTCCTCCTCCTCCTCCTCCTCCTCCTCCTCCTCCTCTCCACCTTACAGTCAACGCAGGGCTGGAAGAGACGCCAACTAAGGAACGAAGGGTGTTTCCTGACCGCGGCGAGCCTCGGCCACGAAACAGTTCCCCGACCTAGACCTAAGGAGTGGCCCGAAAACCAGAGCCCCTCCTGAGCCCAGAGTGGTCCTTCTTGCAGTGTGCTCTCCCCCTGGCTCCTCCGCTGCACTGCTTCCAGGTCAACGAACGTCGGGCAACGCGCCCCGCGATGCGCGGGGCGCGGGTGTCTTCGCGCCCCCTGGAGAAGGCCAGCTCGGCGACCCCAGCCGCGACGCGCGAAACGCGGTCACTTTCGGGGTGGCCTAGTTTTAGGTCGGCCTGTCCCCCTACAGGGAGATTTTGGATGAAAGATATATTCAAACAGTACCCCAAAAGAGTCGAACATATACAAGAAAAATCGTCCTAGGGCTAGATTTTAAACTATTTTTGGATATTCCTCCTGTGGGGACGTGCCCGACTTAAGCCAAGGTTGTTCGCGCGTGGTGAGGCAGGCCTGTCATAGACGAGGGCATGGCGCTCCCGACACCCGACTTTGCGTGTGGGGTATCGGCTGGCCAGACACTGGAGCACAACTCAGGGATGCACACGGCGGGGGCATCCTTGACACGGGGTGCGTCCACACAGCCTCATGGGGGTGTATCTGCGACTTCTCGTTCGCACTCGAGCGGCCAGACCTTTAGAGGGGAACTCGGGGAGAGAAGTCGCATCCGATGTCCGTACACTGCCGATTCGATTCGGCATCCGAACCGCAACTCGGCCGACAATACTCGATCTACCTCTTCGCGTCGCGAAGCAAACCACGACCGAATACTTTTACCATTTTCGAATTCCATGGGCCTTCGCAAGGCGCAGGGGACGTTAAACACCAACCCAGAATGAAAAGCTGGTCCCAAGGAATTCGTCCAGTCTTCCACGGGCCCGCGCCGTGAAAAAACACGACGCTGGAGCTCGGAAAAGAGCATAAATCAGACTTCGGCACCGGCCAATAACGGATCCGGATTCCAGATCGAATCGGCACATGCGCCCGGTCGTGTCGTCGCCTTGGCACCAGGACCTTCGGAGTCGGAACCGACCCAGCTGCGCCAGGACTGCGCAACAACACTGCGCAAGGCATCGGGCCGCAATGGATCGCTGGAGGTGTCGCTGGCCGAAATCGATGTCGAACGGGGTGGCTGGCGACCCAAACGCCCGACGGTGTGAGGGTCCACTGGGCCCGATTTTCTCTGCAAGCCTCAGGAGCATGCACTGAAGGGGGCGCCCATCCTTGATAAGGGGTGCGTCCGAACAGCCGCCTTGGTGTATCCCCGAATTCTCTTCCGCTCCTGAGCGAGCCTGATCCTTTTGGTAAAACTCAAAGCCTCAAAATGACACATCTGCGGGACAACGATGGGGGGGAATCGGCTCAGGGTGGAAACTTCGGCCTTGCATCCACGATGCATCGCCGATAAATCGGCGATGTGCCCCCGATTGCGACTCCGCACGATCTGGGCCGGGCTATTGGGCCCCTATCGGGCGATTGAGGGTCGATGCGTTACGTTTAGGCTTTTGCGTTGCCTCCTCCTCCTCCTCCTCCTCCTCCTCGTCCTCCTCCTCCTCCTCCTCCTCCTCCTCCTCCTCCGCCCCCGGTGGCTTTCGGCCTATAGCTCCGGCCTCCGACGCTGGCGCGGGATCACCCGGACACCCCCCGGAGCGCTCTGCAGCGAGGCGCGGCTGCCGGAGGGCATCCCGAAGAGCACCGAGGAGAACCGAAGTCGCCGAGATCCGATGAGAACCCGAACACCGATCCCTTCTTCCAATAATGGATCGACTGCAGAGCCCCGGCATGGCTTCTTCTTCTCGTCGAGCCCATGGAACAGGCGACGCCTCGAAAGGCCACGTCCCTCCGTTATAGATTCGACGAGGGAATAGAGAGTTTGGGGCAAGTGAAGTCTGCAATCGATCCCCAGCTCGACCCCGACCGCTGCCCCCGGGAAAATTCCCGGGAACATCGAAAGGGATGGGTCGGACTCGAAGAGGAAGAGAGGGAGGAAAAGAAAGACGAGGACGAGGAGGAGGACGACGAGGAGGGCGAGGGCGAGGACGAGGACGAAGAGAAGGGCGAGGAGGAGGAGGAGAAGGAGGAGGAGCCCTGCAGCGAGGCCGCTGCCCACGGCCCGCGGGTGCCGGGCCACGCCTGCAGGCGCGGAGCTGAGCGGGGCGGCCGGCATGCCGCGCCCCGCGACCTGGCGGAGGGGCGGGCCACCGGCGGCGGCGCGCGCGCGAGAGGAGAAGGCGACGGGGGGCACCCAACGAGGGCAGCACTCGGCGGCCGTCGCCCGTGGCTGGACAAGCCCGTTCCACTACTCGCTAGCTCGCTCAGCCACTATACTCGCAAAGGCCTGGAGCCGCCGCGAGGGGTTCACCATCCACTACGCCGAGGCGCACGTGTGAGAGTGTGTGTGTGTGTGTTTCTGACGTTTGCGCACGGGCACTTTACGGGCCACACCCGTGATGGTGAGTTTCCCCTCCCGCCTCCTCCTCCTCCTCCTCCTGCTTCGCTGTTGCCGCCGTCTCTTCCTCCTGGGGGGAGGAGGGGGGCGGGAGACGACGGGATGGACTGGAATGGAGCCTGATGCGGACGGGTGCCCGCCATGCCGCCGCGGCGGCAGCTGCTCGGCCACGGCCTCGCAGCTCAGAGCTCCGAGTGCTCGTACTCGGTGCCAATGCCCCCGAACACGAGAGGGAGTGGACGAGGAGGAGGAGGCAAGGAGGAGGGTCGCAACGTGGGAAATGGTGCGGGGGAGGAGCCGGAGGGGGAGGGGGGTGAAGGGGGAGGACGACGGGGGGATGACGGGGACGCACAATTCTAGCAGTTTAACATGCTGTTGGGCACACGTCGCGGCCAGGCTCAGCCACAGCTGTGCTGAAGGCCCGATTCCAATCTGGCTGCATGTCGACAGGTCTTGCAGGACGCCGGAAGAAAGGCGTCTTTGGATAATCGCAGTCTCTACCGAAAGGTAAACGGGAAGCGGGATGACGAGGAAGAGGAGGAGGAGGAGGAGGGAGGCGGGAGGAGCAGCGGGAGGAGGAGGGGGTTGAGGGGAGGGAGGTGGGGGGAAGGATCTTCAGAGAAGAAAACATGCGAGGCGCGGATATTCATCCAAAACCACTGCATATGGGGAGCCGTTGTCCATGGGGCTGGACGGATTTTCCTGCATTCCCCAAACAGTGCTTGCACTAGTGGTCCTTGCTGCGATTGATGAGCGATTGGATGGGTGTGCCAAAGTTTCGCCTGGTGCCAGGTTGGTGGCCGCCCGTATGCGCCTCGTGGACCTTCGAGGCCCCAAAGAGGCATAGGGGGACGGCTCGGAATATAGATGACGCGAGGCATGAATTTGTCCGTATTTACCAGATGGGTGACGGATGTCCAGTGCCCCTAGAGGGCGAGGAGTATGGACATGTTGGCCCTTGGCGGGCCGAATATACGTATGCTCCAGGGCTCCTGCTCCTCCCCATGATGCTGGTGCCCTAGGCCCCCCACCGCGCGATGGTCCCCTCCCCGTGTGGTCGTGGCCCTGTGAGCGTGGCGTTGGGGGGAATGCCGGTGTCCCCCCCTGACCCTGTTGGTGGGGTGCTGTTGCGGTTCCGTGGTCGTCGTCGTCGCAGTCGTCGTCGCCGTCGTCGACGTCGTCGTCCTCGTCGCCATCGTCGTAAACGTCGCCGTCGTCGTCATCGTCCCGACCATCGTCGTCGTCGTCGTGGTCGAGGTCGTCGTCGTCGTCGTAACCGCTAACGGTCTTTACTCTTGGTCCGCTCCTCTTCTCTTTCGGTGGTGAGTAGGACTGGTCCTAAAACCTCATCCTCTTTCTCCTCGCAATCGTAGTCGCAGTCGTAGTCGTAGTCGTAGTTGCAATCGTAGTCGTGGATGTCGTCGTCGTCGTTGTTGCGAGGCGGGTGCTGTAGAACCCCAAAAATGTTACGCCCAGTGGGGTCCAAGTCCTTCAATACAGCCGCCGATAAAATAATTTACCCCCTATTAGGTGGTTCTAAAGACGCTTCAAGATTAGTCGCATTCGTCGTCGTCGTCTTCGTCGTCGTCCTGTCCGTGGTAGTCTCCGTCGTCGTCATCGTCGTCGTCTTCGTCATTGTCGCCGGGGTCGGCGTCGCCGTCGCCGTCGTCGTCGTCGCCGTCGTCGTCGACGTCGTCACCGTCGGCGTCGTCGTTTCCGTCGTCGTCGTCGTCGTCGTCGTCGTCGTCGTCTTCGTCGTCGTCACAGTCGTCGTCGTCGTCGTCGTCGTCATCGTCGTCGTCGTCGTCATCGTCGTCTCCGTCATGGTTGTCGTCGTCGCCGTCTACATCGTCGTTTTTGTCGTCGTCATCTTCGTCTACGTTATCGTCGTCGCCATCTTCGTCGACGTCTTCGTCGTCGTCTTTGTCGTCGTCATTATCGTCGTGGTCGTCTCCGTCTCCGTCGTCGCCTCCGTCGTCGTCGTCGTCGTCGTCGTCGTCCTTGGATCCATCCCGTCTGTGGGGAGGAAGAGAGGGAGTCTGTGAACTCTCGACCCTTGATCATATCCATATCCACCGCCTGTAGAGGTCGAGGCGGTCCAGTTCCCAACGCTGTTGGCATAGATCGATCCCAGCCTCGGTAATAATGACTGTGAGGGGCGGATGTGCTGTTGGTGGCAAACGAACTGCGAAAGGGACTCGAGCTGCTCCGCTGTTTGTACATAAGCGGCGCACCTGCGTCATGCAGAAAGACGGTTAGGAGCCAGGGTGTGCTGACTACGATTTGAATCAAGATATTGTTTGCGCCTCTGGCCTGGTCGTTGTCCGACTGATACTGTCTAGTGTCACGCAGATATCCGCTGAAACTTTCGCGTCATCGGTCGCAACGCTTGGTGGAACACGAGAGTGTCGTTGAATAGTGCTTCGCCTCGTAAGCGAATCCTAGAGCTCTTTATAGCATAGTGTTCATCGGCGAACTCACTCAAAAACAACTGTCCAGTTACTTGCTGCTGTCGCCACAACCTAATGAGACACCGGCGCTGGCACGCGTTGATCAGGCTTGCGGTCGTCAGCTTCCCACGCTCGGTCCGTGAATCTGCCACGGGCAGCCGTCGGGCACACGACGTGCACTCCTCTGACTCGAACGTCCCTGCAAGAGAAGCCGGCAGAGGCGTTGCCGTGTAGGTCTCCCCCCCAAGGTGAGAACGGTGGGCGGAAAGACTGCGGCTCTGTCCTCGCAAGCTTCCAATGTGTTAGGCCCCCGCACCCCGGCGCGTGTCCGCCATGGCACAGAGCAAGAACAGCTCAGACTCGGGTGTCCAAGCGTCTGGCTGTAGGAGAACCTGACAGCTGTACTAACCGAACAGATAACGATACAATCACAAACTGTTGGAGGTCCGCGCGGACTTCTGGATCAGCGCTGGACCCCACTCCCTGGCGCGCGGAGCAGGGAGGCCCAGCGCGGATGCAAGAAATCCGCGAGGAACTCCGCAAGTTTATGCTGATGCCGTTTCATCCTCTTCGGCGCGGATGCATCGGAGGAGGAGGAGACGTTGAGCAGGGACCGAACGTCCCGGCATTCTTATAGACCTACAACGACATTCTCTTAGAGCTAAGGAAGAATGCCCTGAGAACGAATATCGTGTTCTCAGGACAGAGAAAAACCAATTGTTTTAAAGATGCTGATCGCAGCCAGAAAAGACACATCGACGCAAGCGCTGTGCGAAACACAGAGCCATTCCCACAGCGCTCCCACGGTGGGCCTATAGGCAAGCCGGGACGCCCCGCCACTGCTTGAAGGCAAGGGCTCCCAACTTCGCGCTTCGCGCTGCGCGAAGCGCGAAGCGCGAATAACTTCGCGCTCTCGCGCCGCCTCCCAGGGGAGAAGAGGAGGAGGAGGAGGAATGGGAGCCGAACCGAGAAGCGCGAAGCGCGAATAACTTCGCGCCCTCGAGGGCGCCCTTGTTGAAGAGAGGTAAGGGGGGCATCGGTGCCCGTGCCGAAGCGCTGCTGGTCGAGAGAGGCCGCGCGCGGCGCCCGCCTGTCCGCGGCCGGGGCCCGGCTGGATCTCGGGCTTCTTCGGCCCCGAGGGCGGCGGCGCCTGGTAGGGGGGGCCCGCCGCGCCCTCGCCAGCCCCCCGCCCTGTCCACGCCCCTCCCTCCTCCCTCGCTTCTCTCCCCCTCCCCCCCCCCTTCCCCCTTCCCCGCTTCCCTCGATCCCTCCGACGCACTGGACAGAAGTGGAACGACTCAAGATGAAAATCTGGTGGCGCCTGCTGGGCCGAGTTGGAGAGGCGCCGCCGCTTGAGAGAGGGTGGAGGGGGGGGGGCCGCCGCTGCAGATCTTCGGCGACGTCATTTGCCATCTGGGCGCGCTCTTCCTTGGTGTCGGCCTCGGGGCCCCGGGACCCGGGCCCGGGCGCCATCAGAAGTGGATATCTCGGGCGGGGAACTACCCAGGGAAGAGATCGGGAGGTCTGGGGCCGCGGATAGAGGGCAGATCGAAAGGGATCGGGCCAAGATGTTAAGGACTCGGGCTGCGCACAAACAGCACCCCCGGGGAGTCCTGGCTGGTCTCGCCAGGCCCCCGGATGGTCTCGGGCGGTCTCGACACCCTGGCGCCGCCTCCGGCGGCGCCCCTCCCCTCGGACGGGCTCCGCGCCCTGGAGGGCTGGGGCGTTGAGACCCCCCTGGGCTACTCGGGGGGCCTGTTCAGGCCAGCTGGGAGTACCTGGGGGAGCTGCCTGTGCGAGGCCCGAAGTGAAGGGGCCCTGGGACACACAAATAAATACACACAAATAAAAAGATTCCCTATATTTTCCTATAGTTTCTGGGCTTTTGTCTTCCCGCCCAATTCCCATATTTTCTATATTTTCCTGGGAATCGACGATTAATTGTGTCTGTGTGTTTTTTCCCCTCCTGACGAAGGAGGGCCCGGGGGTGAAGGGCGACGTTCGGGAGGGGGGCCCGCTCAGGGGGGGGGGCAGGCATCGAGCTGGCATCGACGACGCATCGCCGACAGGTCGGCGCCGGGCCCCCGATGGCGAATCCGCGCGTTCCTGGGCGGGGTGGGCTATCGAGGCCCCTCTCGGCGTCGAATGGGCGATCGGGGGTCGGCGCATCACACCCTGCGATGACTAAAACACGCTTCAAGGACCGAGAGCGCTCAGATCTGAAGAGCTGCAAAGAAACCATGGCATCAAGGGAGAGATTGTCCCAGTGCGACCCTACCTAGGAGTTACATGCACATCTACACCGACAGCTACATTTACACCGACACATGCATCCACATCTACATCAACATCAACAGCGAGACTCACATCTACATCTACATATACACCTACATCTACACCTACATCTGCATCTACATCTACACCTACATCCACATCTACACCTACACCTACATCTAAATCTACATCTACACTTCCGCATTGGTTTTGCTTTTGCTTTGCAGTGCCTTTGCTTTTGCTCTTGCCTTTGCTTTTGGCTTTGCCTTTGCTTTTGCTTTTGCTGTTGCTGTCGCTTTTGTTTTTGCTTTGCTGTTGTTTGTGTGTTTGCTTGATTTGGGTGTTGCTTTGCCTGCTTTAGCGCAGCGCAGCATAGCGCAGCGCAACATTAGCACAGCATAGCATAGCATAGCATTGCCAATCATATCATAGCATAGCATAGCTCAGCATATCATAGCAACGTATAGCATATCATAGTAAATCATAGCATAGCATTGCATATAATAGCATAGCGCAGCATCACATAGCTAAGCTAAGGTAAGCTAAGCTATGCCAAGCTAAGCTAACCTAAACTAAGCTAGGCTAGGCTAGGCTAGGCTAGGCTAAGCTAAGCTAAGCTAAACCAAGCTAAGCTAAGCTAAGCTAAGCTAAGATGATATAAGCTAAGCTAAGCTAATATAAGCTACGCTAAGCCAAGCTAAACTAGGCGAGGCAAAGCTAAGCTAAGCTAAGCTAAGCTAAGATGAGATAGGCAAAGCTAAGCTAAGCTAAGCTAAGCTAAGCTAAGCTAAGCTACGCTGGGTGAACCCAGGGGGCGCAACTGGGGGAACCGCGGGGCGGATACAGGGGGATTCGCCCGGGGCGAGCTCCACTGCCCGGCCCCTTTATGCCCAGAGAGTAAGAACCCTTCCAGGCAGAGCCTAGGTAGGGCACAAAGTAGTTTTCGCATTCTCCTCCCTCCCGGGGGGGGCCCCCCTCATTCTTCCCTCCTCTTCCCCTCGTCCCCTGCTCCAGGAGAGAAATGCGACGGAAAGGAAAAGGGAAACGTGCGGCGAATTTCAGGACAGGGGGAAGCGGAGAGGGGATAGAGGACGGATGCGAGCCGCAGCGATAGAGAAATGACAGCGTTTGTAGACGAGGTGAGCTCGGATTGACCCGCCACGCGAGGAAAGGGATATGTATGAGAGTATGCGTACGTAGAGAGAGAGAGAGAGAGGGAGAGAGAGAGAGAGAGAGCAAACAAAGATACAACAGAGACAGAGAGAGAGAGAAAGAGAGAAAGAGAGAACGGGTCGAGCTATTCATGTGCGTCCCGTCGCCGACCAAAGCAGCGAATAGGAGAAACGATCTGAGTCTCAAGGGAGCATAGCTCCTCTGCCATCAGCGAGACAATGGTCTCGCCGCGCAGCACGACGAAGCCGAGAGTACGCTTCACCTGTGCCAGGAAAACGTCTTGCATGCAGGAAAGAAACCGGTGGTTGCCAGGGCTCGCAAGGACAATGCGGCTCCTCCTCCTCCTCGTGCTTATCCTCCTCCTCTCCTTCCAACTCCGACGAGCGGCGACAAGATGAGTCGCGAACACGACAATGGCACAAATGCGCAAGGTTAAGATAGAAGTCGTTGACATTTGAGCATGTCACGACAGGCAACGCGTAGCCTGCTACAGCGTCGCCCATGAGACAAACCACAGGACTGCGAACCTCCTTCTCGTCATCCTTGCGCCCCTTCGATTTGATCTTGCGGAACTCCTCGCAATCGGCAAGCACCTGACAAGGTGGGACGGTCACGAAACCTTCCTCGGCATGGCGATGGTGAAAACGGACAGCGTGGACAACGCGACAATTCAGCTAAGCAACAAGGTTGTCATGCGAACGTGGCCGACATTCCGGCCCTTCACTCTTGCAGAAGAGCGGGTAGGAGGAGGCAGAGGCAAGGGGTCCGAGAGGCCGGGAGGGAGGATAATGGGGGGGACAGACCAACGCGTTGCGTGCGCTTCCCAGCTGGCCAACCACTGACAATATACACAACAAGAACAGTGAACAACCAATTGCGGAACATGCGAAAATCCACGATCGCTCCGGACTCCGGCAGGAGGCAACAAGCGAGGGAAGAGAAAAAGGGAGGAATGAAACTCAAATCTCGCAAAAAGGGGTTCAAGCGTAAAACACAAGAGAAAAGTCTGTGAACCACCGCGCAACCAGACACGCCTTCGAGCATCGAGCGGCTGGGCGCCTGCACGATAAAGGTACAATAGAAAACACAGGACAGGCCGAACAGGAAACGCGGAGGAGGACGAAGAGCCGGAGCAGGAGGAGGAGGAAAAGGAGGTGAAGCTTGCGGCCCACGGGCAAGTTCCAAACGAGGTCCGACGGCCAGTGTCTAAGCGCTAGAAAAGTACGGACATTTGCGCCAGCGTGTCTCCCGTGGTCTCGGTGGCCAACAGGAGCGAACAACCACAGCATGCACAGCATGCGGGGTGGAGGGGGGCGGAAATACAAAAACATAATGGGCCGAACGCGCACCGCAGGAGCACGCCCGACTTTAGCCTACGCTTCGCGAGCGCGCGCAAACTACAATCACACCAAAGGAGGCCCACGGAAAGGCCGCAGGAGGAGAAGGAAGCGGACACGACAGCGGGAGGAGAATGACGAGACGGGGGAGGAACTTGAATAATCCTCTCGGCGGGATCGAACGATTTTCGACCCCTCCGAAAGACACTTGCAAGCCATGCCCTCGCGGACTTTAGCTGGAATGTTCCGAATTGAACGCGGTGGCGTTGTATTTCTTGCGCGCCGCGGCGAGAGATAACGATGGCGATGCGTTCATGAAGCCGCCGAATTGACTTGCAGGGACCAGCGGGAGCTTTGTCGCTACTCCCGAGCCCGCCGCGACGAGGAACACTTCTCCGCGAGGTCCTTCCACTTATTGCTGGCAACGAATCATGGGAACTGCTAGCTCAGAGACGTGCGCGTGAAACGCCACAGGCAGCTGTGCCATGTTGACCAGTACCCGGTTATGGGGCACACAGACAGACCGACAGACAGACATCCGCATCGCGCCGAAGCGCGCTCCTGGCTGGAGCGGGTCGAAAGCGCCGCATCGCTCAGAAGGAACGTGCCCGAAGTATCACGTCGTCACATGCTATGTTTCCAGTTTGTCATCGTCTGAACGGTCAGGTGCAAACTCGAACCAAGCCATGGCCGTCGCGCTACAATCCATGTCTCTGTAAACGTGTTATCACATCGTGAGGCCATCTTTTCTGTGGGCTGTGGGCCAGACGCCCCTGGCAATCTCTTGAAAATTCGTGTCGCCATGGCGCCACATTAACGGTCCACCTGTCGTAGTTCGACGCGGCAACGCGGCGCGCGCCAATCATCGATGCGCAACTTGCCGAATGTATCGTCCACCGTGGCGGTCGCGCGCCGCGTCCAAAGCATCCGCGGCTCGAAGTCGCCCTGCCTATCGTCATCGTCGTTGTCCTGGCCGTTGTCTGCAGACTGGCTGTCGCTCGTGTCGGCCGCGCCGCCAACGCCCCTGCACTGGGCGTTGTGGCCCTGGTCAGCTGCGTGCCGGGCTGCCCCGAATGCCATCTGCAACGTCTTCCGTTGCGTGCGCTGAAATGTTCTTGCGATTCCCGCGTCGACGTCCACGACAATGACCCGTGCAAGGCGGTTGGCGTCATCGTGCCCTCGACCGCCGTGATCGTAGATGACCTTTATGCCGATTGCTGGTGATGTCCGTGTTTCTCGTCGCGGATGCTTTCCATGCCTGCTGGGTGCAGTGGTCCAGTTTTGCACCCGCATCGGATGAACTGCCCAGCGCGTTGCCCCAGCGCTCGACCGCTCCATTTTGCGACAGAGTGTCTACGCTCAAGACGCCAATCACGAGATTGATCTGCATTCCGCGACCCTTGTGATTCCAACGTTTGTCAATATTTTTGTCTGCGTGGGGGGCAAGACCAACTGGGGCAGCTGCTGGGCGAACGTCCGACAGAGCGGTCCTGATTTGGTGCGTCCTCCTGGCGGCCAGGAGAACATCATCCGTAGAACGCGGACTCACCGCGTTCGAAGACTCGACGGACCCAAGTGACACGCCGCAGTCCCGCTCCAACCGCTCCCCCTTGATCAGGCGCATCGCGTCTTCCAGCAGAGAAATACATGTCGAGGAGTTGCGTGGTTATCCTTGCGTTGTTCCTCTGAGTATTGGAGGCCATCAGCTTTGTTTGTCCATTGCGACTTGGGCTGTCTGCTCGGAATCAAGATCCCTCGGATGCGCTGCAGCCGCGCGCCTGGCTGAAATAAGGAATTCCACCGTGCCTGGCGTTTCGCGGAATCAGCTGCCTTCTGGAAGTCCAATGCTGCAAAGCAAGAAATGGATGTATGTTCGTGTACTATTTTCTGGGATATGGCCGAGGCAAACAAATCATGTTTCGTTGAGAACCCGCCACTGAAGCCAGCATGGCCGCTGCTACGCTGCGGTTCCAAAATAGGTTGGAATCGGTTGTGTAGAAGGTTCGCGAACAGCTTGTGCAGGAGAGGAGTCATCGCTATGGACTGGCGTTCCTTTTGCAAGCGTTCATCATGATTTGGGCGGGGGTGCATCTGGTTTCAGTATCTCGTCGCATGGTCAGCCACTGCCTCCAAGACAGTATCACCAGCGCAGCAAATTATGCGAGCCGCCGCTCGAGCACCCTCTGCACACTTGTTCTTCCAGAGCTACTTGGTCGACCCTTGACTTTCGGCCTGGCCAAAGCCACATGGTTGCCCTCGATTGCGCCTGCCATTCCCTGGTGTGGATCCACAGTGCAATTGCGAGAATCAAGTTGGTCATCAAACGAAGCGAAAACGTTTGCAATGTCCTTGCGGCTCATGATTTCTGCGTTGACGTCCAGCGCGCAACTTGCGATGGGCTTCTTAACGTTTGTTTTAATCATCGGGGCCCCGTTGGTACCTGAGAAGATCTGCGAATGGATTGTTGATGCTGCTCGCGCACTCCATCCCGCATTGACTACTGAGGCATTCGTTAATGAATGTGCTGCTTTCGGTCACCTTCTGCCTTCAAGACGCATCTGCGGGCCAATCCACGGAAGGATTTCTGCCCAGATCTCTGGAGGACACTCGTCGGCCCCCGCGCGCGCATAAATAAAGTCACAAGCGGCGAGCCAACCAGGATCCTATCAAAAGCGGATTGGAAGGGCCTGGGAACGACGCGATGACTGCCCCTGAAATCATCGATTGCGAGGTTTAGACTCAGGTACACACGTGAGTTGCTATGCGCTTGTAAGTTATGATAAATAATGACGCGCGTGGCACATCACAACGGCGGCCACGGCGTGCGCATCGATGGCAGGAGGGCGGACAGATGCTGACAACTCGTGGGGAGGGGGGAAGGTCCGCCAATCTTCCCATGCGGGCGCCAGCAGGCAGCGTTCCTTGTTTTCGGCAGCTTGGCCGTTCAATTCTCATCGGAGAAAATGAGACTCACGATTGCAGTCTTAATAGAAACACCTCAGCTAGGCCACCGTCTTTCGCGCGGGCCCAATCAACGCATAGCTGAAAGTCCTACGTTCTCATATTCTCACTGCAGTGATATTCTAATGAGTTCAATGCGTGCTACAACCCTGGCCTGGAACCAATCTCATTCCCCTGCCGACAGCGTGCCATTCTTGGTTGTGGAATCTGAATGATTTGCTCATATCGAACAGAATTTGGGCCAAGCGTCATGCTCTCAACCTCGTTGCATCCGTAGCCGCTTTGGCTTCCAAGGCGCGCTTTCTGAGAGCGCCATAGCGTTGGTTCCGGGAAAGCAGCGCAAGCGCGATGCATTCGGGAACCTGCGGGCCCTGACGGGCGACCTCGGGGTCGAGA